ATTGTTGTTGTTCCAAATTGGTAGCAGTAAAATCTGGTGTATAGTAAGGAAACAATATTTTTAAGGAGAAGAATCGATCAGGTGTATAGCATAGTATTATAGTGTATATGTAAGCTTGTTCTAATCGATAATGCCCGATTTGGACATACCCTATGGCCCATAAATCATTCAATTCTGTTCAAGCTTCAAGGTCTTAGCCGTTCATAAGATGGTGGAAAGAACAAACGAGCCAACGATAAGTCGAATATTACTAAAAACAATTTAGTTTTCGATGAAGTCGTCCTCTCTTTCACTTGCATATTAAGAATATTTCAAGAAAACTATAAACCCAATTTTTAAATGTTTCATGGTATTTTGTAAAACTATTTAGGAGGTTGGAGTCCCTTTTGTAAAGCTTTAACATTTAATTTAATATGAATCGTAGATTGGAATTTAGCTCTATGTTTCATGGCTGATTGTTTACCTAACTTAGCGATTTCTTAACAAAGTCTGATTATTGTCATCAGCGCCGCATAAACGTGGCTTACAGTGGCTAAGCTGGCAAGTTGGCAAGTCGGTTGGAGGCTGGCCTGGTCTGCGATTTTCACAAGTTGATATCGCAAACACAAAATGTTAATGAGCAATTTCGAGATGGTGCGAAGTGATTTCATTATTTAAACTTCTCTTTTTTTTGTTTCTGTTACTTTTGTTGCATTCGAAGTCTTTTTCTGTTTTTTTTTTTTTTTTTTTTTTTTTTTTCGTCTTCTCAACTTCGACTTTTGTTGCTTGGCTGTTGCATTTCTTAAAATACTCTTTAACAAAAAGGGAAATGAGTATATAGACTCCACTGATAAGACTCTGATATAGTGACATTGATAGTCTCTGAAGACTCGCACTGTCGACGCTTTGAAGATATATAGTAAATATGTCATGTCCCACTTTTTCACTTTCAATGTAAATAACTCAAATACATTAAAATGAACATCAAACTGTATTTAAAAGTTGAATTTTAATTGATAATAATATATCCCATATTTATGGTATAAGAGTTTTCTGTTCCCTAGCTTGAGACATCATAATAAGAAAGAAAGCTATTAGATCACAATTGACTTTCCCTATAGAGCGAGCTATGATTTCATTGCCTAGATTACTCTGATTAGGTAACGCCGTATCTTCTAATTATGCAAAAAAAAATGCATAAAAATAATAAAAAACTTATTTAAATTCAGTTAATTCTATTTGAAATTATTCTTAATACTTGAGCGAGTATTATGCAGTCAGTTGCGTCCAGCTGTAGCAATCTTACTTGGTTTTCTTATTATTATTATTACGCCTGGTTCATTGGGTAATGAAAACGAAATAATTTTAATTGGGTCGCTGGCAGCAGCAACAACAGCAACAACAGCAACAACTGCAACAACAGCAGCACTTTTTTCATCGCACCTATAAGAAAGCAGCCAAATTAATTATTTCCTGTTAAATTAGTTTTTGTTTTCTTTTGCAATTTCTGGCATAAATTACGGCTCAAGTCAATGAATATGCAACGCAGAAAGTGTCACCTGTCGCAGTCGCATTCAGAGCGATGGCAGAGTTTTGAGGCTCTTCAGCTCGTGTTTTTGAGCTCAGCTCCTCAGCGCACTTCAAAACAATGTTCCGCCGCATAAATGAATAGCAACTAGGCTGATCAACTGGGTCGCATTTGATGATTAAAACATAAATTGCACTGGATGCGAACCCTTTTGCGACTGATATCGCATAAACCATGTATGTCTATGTCTGTGTGTGTGTGTGTTTGTGTGTGTGTGTGTGTGTGTGTGTGTGTTAGTATTTATATGTGGTATGTCTATAGGGTAGTTGAAGGGTTGCTTCTCGCGCACTAAAATTACACTTAATTAAACATCAGGACATTAGCGTTTTTTATTTTTTCATTTAAGACTGAGACATGGCATGTTAGTTATCCCCTTAACTCCTTGGCAAATATTTAACATGAGCTGTAAAATTGGCTATACCCATTAATAATTGCGGTCAACGGGGTATATTGCAATTGAGCCAATTTATGCAACGGAGGGTGGGTTAATTTATAGATATATCGGAAGGATTTTATTTTTGCAATTTCAGAGATATAAATATTTCGTAGCTCATATGTTATATACGAAATAAATCTCTGAGACCTCAGAAGCATTATGTAAGGATTCTTAACTTATCTCTAAGTCGTGTTTATGAAAGGAACATTTTACTTTACCTATATATAACTTTGATGTTTTCCTAAAGTTGGGAATCATATATATAAAAACATATTAAAGAATCTACCATATGTATATACATATTCGATCCCTATTGAATTTGTTACTTTCTCATTTAGATCATGCGCTAAATAAAATTCTAATTCACCCATCACCAATCCCAATGTCTTTGCGATTTGAAATATGTTTTTCTTAAAAATTTTGTGTAGGTTCAAAATCTTGAATATTGAATACCAACGGATAGACAATCAGACGGAGATAACTGTTTTGCACTCAGCTTGTCATCCTGATCAAAAATGTTTATAGTTTTTGCAGTCTGCCACGCCTCCTTCCTGAAGCATATTCAACAAAGGCTCATTACATATATTAGTATATATGTATGTACATAACGTAGGCCTGGCTGAAAATGTTACAAAAACTGCTGCTGTATTTCGTGTCGCTAAATATACCCAGCATCTATGCAAGTTGCACCGTAACGCGCGTAATCATGCGCGTGCCGCGGGAGAATGATATAGGCCTCATCTTCGGTAAGCTAGTGGAAAAGAATAATATTGCATTCAGCCACAAAACTGATTAGTCCAACAGATCTGACGATAAGCAATCGAAAGAAAAATAAATCCGAATTGCTGGATTTGACTGTGAACTCAAATGGGGACTGCACCTTGAACTTGACCAACGGGCAGACGCTTCAAGCGAGCACGATTTTCGGCGGCGACTTCGGATCCATCGAACCGGGCAACAGCATCACCGTCTCCTTGGTGTGGCCTACTGTGGTCAGTTAGTTGCATTATGCCAAAGCATACGATTTATTTTTATCACAAACGCCTTTATAGTCGCTCTACAATCGCGTCGGCAGCTGCCCCATCGTCATCACCACCGCCAACCATCAGAATGAGGTATTCAAGACGAATCAAACATTGTACTTTGATACGCGATTTGAGACCTTGGATCCGGGCAACCACACGCTGCGGCGTCGCAAAGACTTTATAGACTGCAAGAACTGGGACAAGAACTATCTGCGCAATTGCACCCCCCTCAACTGTGAGGAGCGATATTTCGGCAAGCGCAGCTTCTACAATCGCACCACGGAGTTGTGCGAGCCGGTGCCGCCATGCTTTGGCGAGGGAAAAATATACGATTTCTATGCCAATGAGTGCATGGACATGAACAATTTTATAACGGATGAGGAAATAGAGCAGCTGAAGCAAGGAAAGTTTGATAATAACATTTTGGACCTGCAGCCCTATGTAAGTAATCAAAAGCCAAGCGCCATCTATGTGAAACAACACAAAGCAGAGACAAGCGCCATCTGTCGCTAGACATAACAAACATTTAGCTGCAGCCAACTTTGCTCTCAATTGATTGTGCATGTTGCTGTCACTGTTCTACACCTTGTCTTAATACGGACATTTTTTGGTTGTGGAGTAACGGCGCCGTGGCTTAGTTGGTTAAAGCGCCTGTCTAGTAAACAGGAGATCGTGAGTTCGAATCTCGCCGGGGCCTACACAGTTGAATATCCGCAAACTGATGTGGATTATTTTTTTATTTTTTTATTTTTTACAGAATACAATGTGGACTCCAAGCGAACCGGATATAAAACATACTTCGCACCCACGCAGACAAGCAATAAAGGAATGCAATTTTGCTACTAAGCTATCCTTAATTGACTTTAACAATTGTTTCCAACATCTAAAAGATCCAATAGTAACAGAAACCATAGCAACAACGCCTAAACCAGATGTAGCCAAAACACTAGGGAAAAAATCCGCTCCCGATTCCATGTTGAGAAGCTTATACTACGATTTTTTCCTGCCACTGAATGACGAACACGATTTGACGAGTACTAACGATATGGAAAACATTAATGTGAACAACAGTACAGCAGAAGATGATGATAGTGGTACAGACGAAGAAACTAACAACCGAAGCTTGGGTGCTAAGATCACATCGGGAACACTACAAATGTTATCAGAGTATACTTTAATAGAGCTGATAATGCTGGCTATAAAGATGTTGCTCATTGTGAGTTCATTTAAATTTTTTAGGCATATCAAGAGCAGCAACCAATAATTGCAATTATTTCAGATCTTATTGGTCATTGTATTTCAGTTTGTCCTAACCTTCCTTACCTATATAATAGTCTCTACGACTATATACACAATCTTGGTGATCATAGCTTATCTCAAACCGTATGAAGTGACTGCTGATAAGTTAAGCAAGAAACTAACTCCGCGCTTGAAGCTACCGTCACATGAGATTATGACTTCAGCTAGTTTGATGTCACAATGGAAATGAATATTTGATCGTTTTGCTGTTGTTAAATAAATTGAGTTTTGTGTTTAACACATTGCTACATACGTATATTAATAAATATGATTGTTTATCAATTACCAGTTCGCTCGCGAGCTGTCCATATACAGTGTTGAACAACGCTACGAATTATTGTGCGGGAACTTATAAGTTGAAATCAGTTGAACATAAAAATACACATTTCAAATCATAAAATTAGGCATAGTTATTCAATACTAAGGTAGCGCATATATACACACATGTATTGTGTATATTTGATTGAACTTATTAAAAAGCTTTACTTGTTTATCCATATAATATTTGCTGCTAAGAGTCTATAGAGTGGTTTTATAAAACTGTCATTAATGAAATAACTACAACCATTTAGACAATTAAACTTTAAAAAAACTAATACTATGATTGTAATAAAAACCAAACAAAAATACCATTTAGTACATTTTTTGATAACATGAGCGTATAAATTCAAAGTGACTGGGAGCGATAAAATATTTTTGAACGAGCTAGTTCGTTCGTTCTGTTCGTCTTATCGAACTATGGGAACTTTTCAACGAAACTCTGGTCACATTGCGTAAAAATTGTATGTCGCGTTGTTCGGCTGTTGCTCGTGTAAAAATTATAAAAATACAGAAACGCACAAATCGAAACCACCCAATTTAATGTGAGTATAAACACAAGGCCGCAACAATGGGAGCCTGTGTATGTCGCATGAATCCCGACAATGAGACAATGAGTGTTTCCTCGGCAAGCGCTTCGCGTCCGGTCAGCGCAGGTGAGTAGCCTTTTCACAGCCACATCAATTTGCATCCATTATCGATATGTAATTCTTTGTTATTGTGCGTGCCATATAGGGATTGCATTGGGGGGCGCTGCGCGTAAAAATCGCCCATTGTGCCATGAGACCATAAAATGGCGCTCCGACGTACCTTTAACCGAAGGACAACTGCGCTCAAAGCGTGACGAGTTTTGGGACACGGCTCCTGCATTTGACGGACGAAAGGAGATTTGGGATGCCCTTCGTGCTGCCACAAATGCAGCCGAATGTCTTGATTTTCAAATGGCCCAGGCAATTTTAGATGGCGCTAACGTATCTGTGCCCAATGGGTAAGTTTAACCTGGAGCTCTTATCAAATAAGCTACATCCCCTCCCAAGTACTTATATGACGCGCCGAATGCACTAAACACTAATGACTTTTGACGCGTCCTATAAAAAATCAATAAATACATAAAGTAAATTTACTTTTATTACATTGTCTAAATTACAATGTTGGCATATCGGAAAACTCTGCGCGTGCTGACGAGAGGAAAGCTTCACAAAACAAATGTGTTCAAGAATCTAAAAGCATTGTACACTTAAATGTGTTGCCCGAAACAGATGTTTAAAAGTCCAACAGGAATTGCATTGACTGGAATAGTTTTTATTAAGTGCACTGCTTCAATATATGTAATCAGAGCGAATTATTCTTCACTTTCAATTTACTTTGATTTTTATTGGAAATTGTCGCTTTGGTTGATCTAGCAACTTCCCGTTAATCGACTAAAGTAGATCTGAGAATCATAAAACTGAGTGCATATTATAAACAGAGTTTTATTGATGTTTGGATATGTGTTTCTCGGGTAATAAAACATGACACAACCAGTGATACAGAGAATCATTTGCTTCTTAAAAATATTTATTAATATATAATACCTGTGTTATCAATGTATAGGTCTAATTTTACTTGCTTGTTCAATTTTATGATTTGATTTTTACTTTACTTTTGGCTTAAGACTTTATTCAGTTATCAAGGTAGTTACTTAAATATTGGATACATCTTTTGCAGCTACCTCACAGAATGCTACGACGAGTTGGGAACACAATACAAGGTACCTATTTACTGTCTGTCATATCCCATTAACATTGTAAAGGAAGAGAATGGACGTGATTCGCCAGCCGAATACTCAGAGCCCGTTGACGGTGGAACCGAAATCATTCTTAAGCTGCGCATATCATCTTCAATGACTGATGTTAAACTGCCGGTATACTCTAAGGACACGGTGGGACAGTGCAAGAAAAAGCTGCAGGTGAGCTACTCTCTCATAGTTGCTTAGTTTTGATGAACTCAATTTGCTAATCTTTAAATTGATGTTATGCATGCAGTCTGTTGAGGGAGTTGATGCGTGTTGCCAACGTTGGTTCTACAGCGGTAAGCTGCTGGGCGATAAGGTGCCCATTGATGAGTGCAGCATTCACCAAGGCTATGTGGTGCAGGTCATTGTTAATACGGAGCACTACAATCACGACAACAGCACGAGTATTGTTCACATGTCGCTTGCGAGCTAGCAATGCACCAACTCCAAACTAGTCATCTTAGGTATCAACAGCGGCAACCAGCTTTGTGAACAGCATCAACAACCGGCTAACAGCAACAACAAAAGCAACAATGCCAAATACTCAGGCAACAGCACAATGAGCTTTCATTTCATGCACAAAGAACAACAAAAACAACAACAGCAAACGTATTGCATTTATCAGAAGTACTTGCACAATGCTGATAGCCTTGTTTTGTTTTTTTCTTTACTGGCTGCTCGCCTCGTTGCTGTTGTTGTTGCTGAATTGCAATAGCAATATATACAATTCTGAGCAAAAACAAAAATTTATGGAAAAACCTAAAAATATAAAAAATGAATCATATATAAATATATATTTTTTTGATAATAATTATATATGTTAAAAAATTAAGCAGTCGCTACAAAACATAGTCTGTATATCCAGATGTGTTCTGTAGCACTTCTGAATGATGAAATTCACAATTGAAATTCAAATAAACAAATGTAAATTTTTTATGAAAAAAAAAAAAAACATGTAGAACTGCAAAATCAGAAAAGATGATAAATAGAAACTGTTTATTAACTAATTATAAGCGAATATTTCAAACATTTCTAAGTATTGTAAAAAGAAAGAAAAACCAACAACAAGAATCAAGCAATTGTAGTATTTGGCTGTAATAGACCAACAAAGCAAATCATTTGCTTGAACTGTTGAGATACTACATCAACTTTTGATACTATACATGAAGCATAAATTAAATGTAAGGATGAAAGCCAGGCACAAATTTAAACTGAATAACTTTTGCAACAAAAACAAAAGAAACAAATTAAATTGTTAAATATATTTCTTGCTCATTGTAGTTAACACAAAGTAGTAGGAAATGGTTGGACAAGGAAACGTAAATATCGGATAGAGTAAACCCAAGTACCTTATAAATGTATATGATTTTTGCTTATAGTTTTAAAGCCATAACAAAAATACAATGAAACGGTTATTTATTAAACGAAAACCATAATTTTGTATGTATGCTTTTCTATTAAATTATTTATTACAACATTGAGATCAGTCGAGATCAGAACCGCAACGAACAAATACAATATTTGAACGTTCGTTTTTACTATTATTTAACATATACATATGTTTGTAGGGCACACGCAATCGTGAGCCAGCGTGAATTAATCACAAAACCACAACAATAACATTAAATAACTAAATATTTAACAAATCAATTGGTGTTGTGTTTGAGGTATTGACATGTGTTCGATGTCTCTGCCATTCAAAGCTTAAGTGTATTACTTTTTATGCAAGTTTTTTTTATTTTTTATTTTAACAATTGTAATATACAAAATAAAACATTAAAGCGAATCTTGCGTTCTTTATCCACGCGCATCCATCTTCTGCAGTAGAGTGAGGAAGGAGAAAGCCGTTGTAATCGTCTGGAATGCAAGCAACATGATTCGAGTATCTTTTATAATGATATCTAATTGTGCCACTCACACTCCTAAAGCGGTCCACATTCAGATTGTAAATTTTACCAGCCGTCAGACGAAACGGGCGACGGGAATTAATAAGGAAAATAATATAATCACTTCGCAGCTGGCGCATATGCAGCTGCCAAGGACTGCGCCAGAGAGCTTCGCCGCATCGCTGGCTGTTCTGGTAGACCACATCAGCGAAGTAGCAAATGATAAAGAGCTCGTACAGGACAAGGAGCAGGTACTGACCCAATGACACCATCCGCATGATCGAATTCGCCGTTGTGCTCTTTGTGGAAACGAAAGCTACCAGGCACATGAGAAACGTGACTTCGCCGATCTTAAATAGCCAAATGGGATTGTAGAAGCGTTCCATCTTCTCCAGGACACTAATGATATAACGATGGTGTTCTAAGCACCGGGTTAGGGAGTGCCTGAAGGCAGTGGGTAAGTCCATAGCGTTGCTGAGACTTTTCTGGTGCTTCAGCTCTGTCATCGACGTTTGCATTTCTACGGAGTAGCTATACTGATTCACTTCGGCATCCGACACGGATTGTGCCTCCTGGAGCTCGCTGTGAATGGGACCATTTAAGAATACGTCTACAGGGATTTATAGTGCGGATCACCTTAACTCTTGCATAGTGGCACCCATCTTCAAATAACTCGTAGCTAATATATTTTTAAGGCTGCACATCAACAAATCGTATTGTCCAGATATTAGAATGCCCAAGACCATGTGAAAGCCACTGGAAGACGCGAAGGCAGCAGCCACTTGAATCTGCCCAACGGCCTGAAGGAAGAACACCAACTCGTAGACAAGCGGTTGCTGAAGAAATGAGGAGTAACGGGTATTCCAAAACAGATTCCACAGTGCTTAGCTATTCATTCAGACTTACCTTATAATCGAAAGGATACCAACAGCCCAAAGGGAGACTCCTGTCTCGGTATGCTATGGGCAGCACCAGCCAGAAAATAGTGCCTATAAAGCAGCAGTAGACATAGCTCTTGATCCATAGATTGGACTGTCGCAGCGCTCCCCTAACGGTCACATACGTAAAGCCGTGCGCCGAACGTAATTGGTGCTTATCGTTGACAGTGCTGATGATGTCGTTCAACATATTGTACCTGAAGCGTCGGAAGTAGAGCTTCATGGTGATAGTCCACATATAGATGATCGTCTGTATGAGACAGTTGACAAGGAATTCCAAATCGCCTTCGTCGTAGTATATGTAGAGAGAGCACATGAACAAAATCTCAATGTGCACACACACGAAATACGTGAATATCTCATAGCTCCTGCTCAACACTGTGGTCAGTAAATGCATATAACTGTTTTGATACTCCGTTCTCAAGGTATACATTGCAGCCATTCGCATTACCGACACGATGAAGGTGAACAGATCGCGCCGTTCGATGGGCTCCTCTTTGGAAATGTCTGTGCTCGTCATGATCTCAATTTTTGCTGTTTAAGATTTCAGTTTTCACGCTCTTAAATAGGCCAGCTATCGAGCTTCCATTTACTTTACCTTAAATTGTTGGGTACAAACCGCCTATTAGGCTTTAAAAGTTTTTGATGACAATTGAATATATTTTTAATAAATAATGCATTTTTTGTTGTATTATACATATACATATCTCCTTAACTATTCAGGTTTACAGAGTGGTGCCGAAAATGAGAAAGATTCGATACAGTTATCCGACCATGTAATAATTTGTTCACGCTTCAACTTGATTTCGTAAAAGTGAATAATATATTAATTGAAAATCGGATTTAGAAAAGTCCAGGCACCTTATCATTTCAAGATAAGCAAGGACATTTTTTTGACAAAGTAGTATAATAAAGCTCTTACTATAAGCAACGAAAAATCTTTAAATATTCAAAGCTTACTCATACAACAACGTTGACTAATTTATAAACTGTAATATACTGCTTTACGGTCTAAAATCCTATTCCAATATACTATAATAATGAAGTTATATTTTCGATTTAGCACTCGGATCATATAGAAAGTATTTCCATCTATAAAGAAAATTTGATATGAATATGTGAAGATAGTGATGCTAATATACTCTTTTGATAATATAAGTATTTATAATAAAGGTATTTTTCCTAGCTTCATAATTATATTAATTTGCATTAAAACTTTTTCGAAGTTCCGTCAACTTTTAAAGTATAATTTAACGTTAGACTCCCTAGGCAGACAAAGGTTTCACATAGTTAGTAATTTGTATATATTGATGTTGCCACCCCATAATCACACTATATATAACCAAGTAAATCTGATACTTTAATTGAAACGAGTTGAAGGTTTGATATTCATTCCTTAATATGCTGCGGTTTCTTTATTGTAATTACTGCACTTTGGGGCGATATGAGTCAACATGCAATACATAGATAGGGAATGAAGCGAAAAGCGAACAATATAAATGTGAATGGGCAATAAAATGGGTGAGTGGTTAATATAAGAATATATATAAGATACACATATGAAACATGTTGGGTATAATTGTAGTCTCAATCTATGTTTAGTTGACGGAACGTGCCCTCCATGCCGAACAGATCATCGGTAGTCTTTGGTGCACCTGGGCGCAGTGATTCGTTGGCCTTCTTGTCCTCCTGCTCCTTGAACCACTCCGTGTTGTCGGCCAGCTTCTTCTTCCACCACTGGTTGAGCTCAACAATGGGTCCCGCCTTGCCGCCGTATTCGTTGGGCAACAGCTCACGTGGCACCACCTTGTAGAGGCTCTCAACATCGTTGTGGAAGGTAATGCGGCTGCGGATCTTCTCCTTGACGAAGGGCTTGACAAAGTTGAAGATGGTGTCCACCAATGGCGAAATGTTGATCACATGCACCTCCTTCACCTTAACGGGATACGCCTCCTGCACGGCGATCAAGAACTTCTTCACCACCGTGGGGGAGAATTTGGCAAAATGAGAGGCGCTTGCGACAGCTGCGTCCAAAATGAAGATGTCGCCAGCAATGCCCACCGACTCCTCCGCCAAGCGGATGTCGCCGATCATCAGGGCCACCTTCATGGCATCCAGAATATGGTGGGGCTGGAAATCGCAGTCGATGCCTCGGATGAATGTAATGCGACGTCCGTTGGGCGTAATGCCTGGCAATGTGGGGCAGTGGCTGAAAGAATGACGGACTCATTAGGCTGGGCTATCGAATGGTTTCCGTTGACTATTTCTTTACACATAGTCCAGCACAATGTTGAGCTCCTCGCGATTGATGTCGCGGTTGGAGAAGAACTCGGGCACCGCGTTCCGCATCGTGTAGTACATATCGAGCTTCTTCTTCACCTTCTCCAGGCTGAACTTGCAGCCGCGCAAGAAGGTCGTCAGACGCATATCGTCCATGTCTTTCGGCAAATGGGGCTGAGTCTCCAGCCATTCGCGAATCAGCTTAATGTCGCGCTCAATGTCTGCTGGATCCTCGGGCTCGCGCAGCTCCTCGCGAATGCTCACGCGCTGGGCAGGAGTCGGATGTAGTAGCATCATCTAAATGACGAGTGTGAATAGGGGAGTAAAGAAAATAATTCGAGTTGTTTTATCGGAATGACCTTCAATTCAATTCATACAAAATCATTTTAAGTGTTTTTAGGACCTTCTAATTGCACAAGAGTTAATAGCATAAATGACGACTCTAAGCGATGCCCGCCCAACCCATTTGTTACTTGCCCAATCATTATTTTTGACATATTATCTTTTGATCTAAAAATCATTTTCATATTTTAATTGGAATACTTAGAAATCTCAAGTGGAAGTCACACGCGACTGCCTCGATTCATTGGCATGGCCAGACCCCTTATTCGACTCTCTATGCGAGCACATTGTCAAAATGTTTCTGGCTGTAGTTAGAGCCGGGTATAGAGACCGACTCATAGCACTGTCACGCCCACTTGCGTAAGGTATTCAGCTGGGCCCAAATCAACTGCGAAGCGACCTTAAAAAACTCAACTGTTCATGGTTCACGTTTATTCGGCAATTTCGGTTGAGTTTTGATGTGCTATCGGCGATTGCAGCAACAACTATATATGAGTCCATAAAAGTGAGTGCAAAATGCGAAACAAACAATAAATGTATAGTGAATAGTATAATGTAGCTCTTATGCAAATTCAAAACGTGGAAACAACTGGAACTAAGTTCATCAGCAAATGTGCCGGGAAAGCGATTTAAAGATTTATTTTTGTTGTCTTAATTTTGCTCTTAAATGTTACTTTCGTAATTTCGCTGAGCTCCACTTTGACTTCCCAGGCAGTTACGTGGAAACAAAGCTGTTGCTTCTGTTAAAGTCAAGTTGTTGTTCTCCCTGCACTTACAGCCATTAGGGGCATGGGGTGACTAATATACATATAGTTATAGACAGGCAACACTTAAAAAACAGCTAAATACAAAGCGGAATATTATAGAGCAAATTTTAATTGTTATTTTGTATATCTTTGAAAACTTCTATGAAAATTTCGGCTATTCTCGATCAGTCTAATTTTATTTTAAATTTCTTATTGCTAAACTTGCAAACTTAAATTTTGCTAAGCTATTCCAAAGCTTGATCGATTAATACGAGTTTAGTCTATGCCATTAATTATATTTTCTAAATTTTTGAGGTCTGAACACAAAATATTAATTAGTTCAATCAACTGGTTTTAAGGTAAGCTATAAATTTGCAACACACTCGTGCAATCGGCAATTATTGAACGGCGTAGTGAGGCAGCGATTGTATCAAAACAGATTGCGATTTGACCAAAAACAAAACAACAAAAAATGTTGAAAATTATGAAACGAATATTGCAATATTGAAAACCGTTAGCTGAATTCTGCCAGCAGGAGCAGCAGCAACAGCAACAGCAACAATAACAAACCAACATCAATTACGGTAAATTTGTAAATTTGATGAATGTGGATGTAATTTTTGGATCTGTATGTGCTGCTTGCCCATTATGAGGCAACTAAGCTCACAGTTCTCTATGCACACTCATGTGGCTTTGTTTTTGTGGCTGTTGCTGTTGCTGTTGCTGTTGCTGTTGCTGTTGCTGCTACTGCTGCTGCTAATGGCCATTGCGTTTATTGCAAATGTTGCCTGCAACAACTTCAAATATTGCGAAAATCTTCGCAAAACCAAATGTAAGGCGGTTAAAATAGAAACGGGTTTATGGCCTGGCTTTTGGTCTTTAGCTCTAGCTCTGACACTCTCTATCTCTCTCTCTCCTTCTCTCGTCACGCTGGCTCTGTCCAGCTCTTATACTGGAACATATATTCATATACTCATATGCCATTACTGTCACAGTATAGGGTATAATGTTTTTGCTGCAAGAAATGCAGCAGGAGGCCTGGTCTATCCCATAAGAAGGAGCAGCTGAGTCGTCCAAGGTATATTGTAGTCGCGCAAGCTCGACTAGACCACTCTAGTTATTACTTTAATGTTGTTGATGTTGCTGTTGCAACTTCTTGGTTGCCGTGGGCTTATTGGACAGATTGATGGCTCGAGTTTTCCGCCTAAAGTTGATGGGGGAACGGGCTCCGTATGTGAGCCAACTTTTAAGTGTTGTTGATCTTGATCAAGTGGAGAGTGAAATTGGGCGCAGTCATTGTTGCTTCTGCATTTGTATATTTTGTGTTTACTTTGTATTGAAATTATTTTGTAGCTGCGTCACATATTTTTGGCGATTGCAATTGAAATTCCTGCGGCAACAATTGAAGAATTTTGTAGAATTATTGTTCACAATTTTGCCAGTATCACAATTGACGGTTATTTATGCGCATTCCAGGCTAACCTGCTGTCGTTTATTCAGTGTTGAACTTGGTTGAAGAAGACCACTTGTAATTGCAATTGTTCTTCCTTGAGCACACTTTAACTGCACATGATTTGCACAAATTTTGGTTTTTGTCGGGGCACTCATTAAAATTCCATGCTGCATTTCAACATGACAATATAACATAAAATGCAAGAATTTATAATGGAATGCGGCGGAATTTATACAAAAGATCGGCGAGGAGACCAATTCTTTCTTCTTCCTGAATAACCGGCTCTATGCAATATTTTAATATTGCCTGAGGATTACAGCTCACCTTGATTATGCTGGTTAGTCAGTTAGTGTTAATCCTTATATGGAGGGGGTTTTTGGTTGAAATATCCAATTGGTAGCGCAGGAGCGGAATGGATAGCGGAGCCACACAACTTGACCGAAGCACTGAAGACGATAACTAAATCTGACTGTCTCGAAACAAGTTACAGCGCGTATAAATACTCACGAGCAGCCAGTAAAGCGAACCAACGAAACGCCAGCTGACGAACGACGACGACGACGACGACGACGAAGGCGACGGCGATGACGACGACAATTGCAATAGCAACAACACGCGTGGAAGAAAACCGAAAGCCGTTAAACAGATCATGCCACGAAAATCGGCC